TGGATCATGGAAATGGGGAGATTGAGTTAAATGCCAACTATATTGTTTGTACTGAGGACGTTCTCATTGCAGGTGTGAAAATGCCTGGTATAAATTCTAGTGACAAGGCTGATCCAACGCAATGCTCTCAAACCAGAAGAAAAGTAACATGAAACTTTATCATTAAACAAGAACGGGGCTTCCTCAGAGCAGTGCTTATATAACACTTGAGCCTTCAAGTTCTGGAGTCTTTTAGTTCATGTCTGACTTGGTATCGATAAATATTTTACTGAAGAGAATAGTTGATCACTTCTTATTGATATGATTGTCTATTGATATAGCTTGCACATGAGTTCAGTTTATTCAGGAACATGGTGAAGTCTTTTACTGTGAGCCAAGGAGGTTTTCTATATTTAGATGGGGGAATTTCTGACTTGTTTTAAAGTATAACATTAGAATAAGCATAAAAATGGAATGATTTCGGAAGGAATGATTCTTTATCCATATAGAGTTTGATTTAAAGAAGCTTCCTTGGCAGACCTTGATCTAGTAAAACCTCCTTTATTGTTATTGTAGTATGGCTTTGATTTGTAATAGTCCTCCTTGTGCTGTTGATGATTATCATTTTACCTTTCAATGAAACTTTCTTATTTCTTATCAACACAATAAATTTATGACAGGCAAACAAATTTGAGGAAGCTGAGGCAATTTTTCAAAATCTTTTGAATGAAGAGAGAGCTTCTTTTAAGCCTGACCAGAAAATGTTCCATATGATGATATACATGTACAGGAAAGCTGGCAATTACAACCAAGCTCGAAATATATTTTCCCAAATGGCTGAGAAAGGGATCCCACAAAGTGCTGTTACCTTTAATAGCCTAATGTCTTTTGAAACTAGCTACAAGGAGGTTTCGAGCATATATGACCAGATGCAAAGATCCGGGATAAGACCTGATGCGGTGAGCTATACACTTCTAATCAGTGCGTATGGGAAGGTCAGGCGAGAGGATGAAGCTTTGGCAGTTTTTGAGGAGATGCTAAATGCTGGTGCCAGGCCAACAAGAAAAGCATACAACGTTTTGCTAGATGCATTTGCAATTTCTGGAATGTTGCAGGAAGCTAAAACTGTTTACAAGAGCATGAGAAGGGACAAAGTTAGTCCTGACCTCTGCTCTTACGCAACCATGATATCTGCATATGTAAATGCTTCTAACATGGATGGAGCAGAAAAATTATTCCGCCGCTTGAAAGAAGATAGTTTAAAGCCAAATGTTATTGTCTATGGGACCCTGATGAAAGGTTATGTAAAGACAAATAATATTGAAAGAGTAATGCGTGTATATGAGAGAATGCGGATGCAAGGTGTAGAATCTAATCAAGCAATATATACTATCATCATGGATTCATATGGTAAGAACTCAGATTTTGAAAGTGCAGTTGTTTGGTTCAAGGAAATTAGGAGAGGTGGATTATCTCCTGACCAGAAAGCAAAGAACATTCTTTTTTTGAGAGAGTATTAAAATTTAATTATGTGGATATAAAAAAGTTGTTGAAAAAAAGTGATATTGAACTAATAATATTTTTGTTGATGATTTAAATAAAATTTAAATTGCCAATCTAGATCTTCGTTTTGAAGAACTTAACAAATTCATCTATCAGAAATTATCAGTAGATAAAAAAAAGAAAAAAATTATCGTAGAAATCCTTTTGAAAAGAAAAATCATTTAGAAGTCTTATTATCATTTTAGATGTCATATTACGAGTAATAATAATAATAATCAAGATAGACAAAAAGAAAAATTTTTCATTTTACAAAAAAATAGAACTATTTTCTGTTACTCTTTTTACTTAATAATCTTGGAGGCAAGGATATAAAACAGAAAATTCTTGAATTAGATATAAAAACAGAATAAAGTTTCTTTTTTCTATTTTAACTTTAAGAATTCTTTATTTCTGTTTTTTTCTATTTAACTAAGAAATAAACTTTTTTCTTGCTTTCTGTTTTACTAAGAATTCCTTAACAACATTAAAAAAAAAAAAAAAAAAAAAAAAAAAAAAAAAACAGAAAACAAATATCTTTAATAAGATATATCTTAGTAAACACAGAAATAAGTTTTTTACAAGGATCTAAATCACGAGATTTCTTATTTCTATAAAAAATAGAAAAAAAACAGAAATAAAGAATACTAGTTAAATAGAAAAATGCTTTCTGTTTTTTATATCTCATTACAAGAATTTTGTTTTTAATCATTATTACAAAGAATCTTAGTTTAAAAACAAAAAACTGAAATAAAAGTTATTTCTTTGTAAAAAATAGAAAAACAGAATCTTTTAATCTCTATTTTCATTTTTATTGAGAAATAAACTTATTTTATGTTTCAACCTCATTTCTTTCTCTCATGTAGCTTCTATTTCTTAGGATCTGTATACATCAATGTTTTTTTTTTTTTTTTTTTTTTTTTTTTTTTTTTTTTTTTTTTTTTTTTGTGGCTCTTCTATATTAGCCCAAGCCCAACCAAGTGGCTCTTCTATATAGCTCCAAGCCTCCAACCAAATTTTATTACTCAACCTCATGCAGACACTCATATTTTCAAGAGTTGGATATCCATTTCTCAGTTAATATTTCTCCCCTCCGATGTACCGCCTCATTTATTTGTTGTATAAATAGCTTTAGATTAATTTTCCAAAATACATATATTATTTCAAACAGCCAAATATTACATTTTCTGGTAATATATATCGTCAAATTTTAATCTTTGAAAAATTATATAATATACTGCAATCAATTCATTTCCAAACTTTCTTAATCAATTTTAGAATATTTAATTGATGCACTATTTTTGAAAACAAGGCTTAAATTGTTATATGTTTATTTGCCAGTTTTAATTCTATAATAAATCTTTGAATTAAGAAATAATTCCTAACATGCTCATTATACAGCAGCAATAAATCTTTCTGCTCTTATATTTTTCGATAATTGTTCAACCTTCGAAATTTATAAGAATTATACGAGACACTTATCCGATAAATTGTGAGTGGATCTCGCAGAAATTAGATTTGTTGGTGAATAAAGATTAATGAGTTCCAGATTGAAATAAAAAAACTAGTATTAATTACAAGAGACTTATTTTCTCGCATGTATCATTTTAGATGCTGATTCTGTTATAAGATACATGTCTATAATAATGTCCTAATTCTTGAAGATAAATAATCCTTAAATTCTTGGAAGAATTTATTTGTTTAGGAATTAAATTCGAAAATTCTTCATAAATAATTATGTTTTATGTTTTTAATATTTTGTTTAGGGAATTTCTGTTTTAATGTCTTATGTTTAGAAAGTCAAGATTTAATTATGTTTTTCTAAAGTTTGGGTTATTTTTTTAGAAAATCTGTTTTAATGTAATAATTAATAAAAATTTGTTTTAATTGTATTTCTGTTTTAAAATTAAAAATAAAAATATTCATTAATTTGTGTTAATGTTTTTAATTTTTTTAGGAAAATCGGTTTTTAGAAATTACCTTAAAACCAAAATTTAAGAATTTTCTGTTTTAAATGTAAATTGTAATTTGTAATTCTGGATACTTAGGAATTTTCACATTTTAATTACAAATTATAAAAAAAAATTAAAAAATTAAATTGTTTAATGTAAATAAAAAATTACAAATTTTGTTAATGTAACTTTAGAAGGTTGTTTACAAATAATTCCTAAAAAAACCATGTACAAATCCTTTAAATGATAATAAGTAAAGCTAAATTGCATTTTTATTGCTTATAAACTTAGAAAATAATCAATGATTGTCAAATTTAATATTTTATTTTTATTTAACTTTAAAAGGTATCTCGAGAATAAATGTGGCATCTTACCGACAGACCTTTGACTCACCCACCATAAAATTATTGCTTTTATTAGTTTATAAAATTTAAGAAATAATCAGCTTTTACTACACGGACTACAGCAGACAGCGACCTCATATGTTAAATAAACTTTAATTCACATCACAGTGTGATCATTTTCACTTGATTCAATCAGACCTCAAAATAACACACTAAATCACTATAATTCAAATAAAAAAATATAGTAATAAATTTATTTATTAAAAATTATTAAAAGCAAAATATCTTTTATGGGTGGAGTCAAAGGCCTCTGAAGGCAAGAGGCCTTACGCCACCTTGCTATTTTTTAAAAAACCTTATTCCCTATATCCTTTTAAAGTTAAATAAAACAAAACATATTAAATTGACAATTTTTTTTTTTTTTGGGAATTTTGGGCTTCGCCCGTATATTAAAACCAAAAGGAACAAAAGTTTTTCTACCCAACACAAAACTGGGAAGAAAACAACACAAGAAGTAAAGGAAGACAAGAAGATAAAACAATAGAACTAAAAAACTAAACCAGCAAGGGCCGAAAAACCTCGGGACTCAGGAAAATGGAGCTAACAGGGAAAGCAAACCATCATCGAAGAGTCAGCAGTAACGAGTCCTCCATGTTGCCAGAGAGATCAAAATAACACCTGAGCCTAACTGAAGGCAAACAGAAGGAACGACAACCAGGCCATCCAAAGGAGCAGAGCCCTGGTTGCCACCAAAAGCAAAAGAATCTGATAATGCACAGCGGGCGGAAATGAATCA